ATCGTGGTTTGTGCTGTTTCTTGCCGGCCGACGGATGATTAGCGCTGGGGCTCAGGGCAGAATTAGGGATGGGGCGATTTTCGAGTTTTTATGTTGTCGCCTGCAGCTACGCTGTTATCGTCAATGGCGAGATGGTGGGCTTTGAGAGAGGCTGCTGTGGTCGACGACGAGCAAGTTACGGCAGTTGTCGTCGCGTGACGCTCGCGAGTGGAACGATTGAAGAGTTTGCTGTCGATGTATTTATTTCTATTAGTTGTTTGTTTGCTTGTATGTCTGTTGACAGAGTTATTGAGTAGATGAATGATTGAATGTAAGAATAAATGAATGATGAGTGAATAACAAACAGAGAAACAAACAAAGAATGCTAAAATTTACGACCAACATCATTCAAAACCACCAAAGATGTACCAGCGCCAATCAAACTCCACTCCCACCTCCACAGACCCCACACCATCTGACACAACTCAACACAACTAACTCCCTATTAAACTTTGAAGTCAGCTTATCAAAAAACGAGACCCTGTTCGCTCTGGAAAGGATAGCCGGCTCCGGAAACCCGGAACCCTCCCCAGCCACATTACCCCCTACTACATCACCCCCGACGGCAGGAGGGCTGCCCTTGTTATTCCCCTTGACGTGAAAGGTGGCTCTGATGATGTTCTTCCTGTTAAATTGGTCTCCACGCAGCTGTGGAGATCCGGATTTTCTAGAGTTAGGCAAAACTGTGATCGCGGTTGTCCTGGTTTGAGAAGAGGAAGATGATGAAGAGGGGAGAGAGTGAAGTTGCTGCTGCTGCTGTGGAGAGAGAGATATTGACGGGGTGGTGTGGTTTCTCAGGATGTCTTTGATTTCTTCTTTCGTCTGCTTGCTCGTCGAGCTGTTTTCAGTCTTGGATGGCGGTTGTTTCAGGCTTTTGTCGCTCGGAGCTGCTGTCTTCTGTCGAGGTTGGGATGAAAAGATAAACACATCACCCACTTACTCAACCAACCAGCCATCCATTCATCCATCCAACCAATCAATCAACCAATCAATCAATCAATCAACCAATGAGACTACACCTGATCGGAAATATCGACACTGGGACCATGTGCATCACTGGATATTATTATCATATCTTTGCTCGCCTCCTTCTTATCCATGTCTATGCCGCTTGTTTTTGAAGATATCGAGTCGTTCAGCTGCTTGTAATCTGGGTAGACGGATGAATGATGGAATGATTGAATGAAATATATATAACCTGGATGAATATATAAACGAACGAACGAAATGACAAATAAATGAATGAAGTACGTATTTAAAGGATAGATGCACGAACAAATGAACACATCAGAAAAGTTTCATTAATAGTCTAAAAGGAATCCAAAAAAAATCCATTCCTAACATACCAGCAGACTCTAGCTCATTGACATCTCTAACGGAGGTGTACCTAACTACCCCGTCAGCAGCTGGACCCCCACCTTCGGTAATTAGGCAGATCGGAAGAGGCTGTTTAATGTTGTTGGGATCGTGGCTGGTGGAGTGTAGATGGGATTTGGCGTCGAAAGATGTGACACTGTAGGAACTCTTCAAAAGATTTGATTCTTCATCTTTTTGATTGTGCTGTATATGCATGCATATTTGTTTGCATGTGTGTGTGTGTGTGTGTGTGTGTGTATAGGTATGTGCGAGTGTGTGAATGTATGTACTTAAGAATATTTGTACTCAAGTATACATTTTGGCCTGAGCATACAGAACGCCTTTATAATTTAGACAAACACACACATACACACACACATACCACAAACACACACACACACCACAAACAAACAGAAACACAAAC